AAAAAGTGGGAAAGAATTTTAAAGGGCCCACTTGTGCCCACGTGCTTTCCACGTGTGCCACGAACATTCAACGAGGACGATCAAAGCGGATTGAATAAGAGAATTGTGAAAGTGATATAAATTTCCATCATCCGACCTGTTTAAAGCTTTCACGTCCGTACTATGTTGTTTCGTAAGAACTTGTCTCCATCTTAAAAGTTATAAACCCTAAATTTAAATTACCAAGGCAATAAAAAAATCTAATCCGTGTTAGATCCGACAAATAGAGTTATTATTGAAGTCATTTGGCAATCTTTAAATTGTTATGATGTTTCGATTTTTTTTCACATACTATATTCGTGTATAAAAATAATAATGTCGCCTTTCAATTAGGGTTACGTATGAAATAAAAAAAAATGAATTAAATTTTGCCTCACTGTTGGTAAATTTCTTTTTTGGGGGGTCTGAACAGATTTGCGTTCAGTGACGGAGTCAGAAGTTGGAAAAATATTTTTAAAATTGATAAGGGAATGAAATGACGCACTTGGGTAACGAAAATTAAAAGGAGAATTTCCGGGAGGTGTATTACTTTTTCTAGAAAATAAACTGATTTATGTGTGATTGTTGAAAAAAAAAACAGTGACTAAAAGATCTTGAAGTCTTCATCTGTTGGGAAGTAAGTTAACAAAGTACTTGAATATATTTACAGAAATTGGTAGGAAGTTGTTATAATATTTAATAAATCTCAGTTGAGGCATTACCTACAGTACTCTGAACAGTTTTATTTGCATTTCTACGGGAAGGGTATCAACATATCGAAAAGAGCTCGTAGAGAGGCAATTAGAGTGATACCTGGATCTTAAAGATAAAGATAACAAAAGAAGCTTAAACTGAGTTTTGGATTTGATACTTGTAAAGCACAAAAGAATTACAGGTGTTTAAAATTTAGGAGCTTAGACACTTTGATTGAAGGTGTTCAAAGTTTTATTGTGAAGCAAAGAAGAATTATAGGTGACTGTTCAGGTGTATAAATTTAGGAGCTCGGACACTTTGATTGAAGGTGTTCAAAGTTAGGAGATTGGATATTTTTGTTTCAAGGTATTCTATGTGTAAAAATTCAGGCGATTGGATACTTTGAAGTTATTCTAGGTGTTAAAAAAAGGTAGGAGATTGGATATTTTGTTTGAAGGTATACTAGGTGTTAAAACTTAGGCGATTGGATACTTTGCAGAAAGGTGTTCTAGGTGTTAAAATTAATTTGCTGGAAGGTATTCTAGGTGTTACAAATTAGGAGATTGGATACTTTGCATGAAGGTGTTATAGGTGTTAAAATTTAGGACATTTGAAGCTTTGTTTGAAAGTATTCTAAGTGTTAAAAAATGGGAGATAGGACAATTTGCTTGAAGGTGTACTGTATAGGCTGGAATGAAAGGGTTGGAATACAAGGAATGATACACTTAATCTGCGAATTCCTAGATCCAGACTAGTTCTTTCAAAGAAAGTTATAAAGTTGTGAAATGAGTTGTCTAACGATGTGTTGTATGTTTAGTTGTGCTTAACTGTTGGTTTTCATGCTTTAATTGGTTGTTTTAGTGGACATTTGAATGGGATAAATGGCCTAATGGCGCCTATAATTTTTCGTGAGTGCTTTATGTTTAACAACACGAGAGATCCAGGTTTATAAGTCAAGAAAGGGATGAGGTATAATTTTGAAAATATCTCTTAAACACTTTAAGAAATCAAAAACCGAATTTTCATTAAAATATTTCAACAATGACTCATTAATTCTAGATATTTTAACCTTTTAATTCCAAAAAAAAGGTGGTTAGGGGCGCTCAACTCGCAATCGAATCCCCGTCCCACCAAACATGCTCGCCCTTTCAGCCGTGGGAGCATTATAATGTGAATCCCACTATCCGTTTGTAAAAGAGTAGCCGAAGAGTTGGCGGTGGGTGGTGATGACTAGTTGCCTTCCCTCTAGTCTTACACTACTAAATTAGGACGGCTAGCGCAGATAGCCCTCGTGTTGCTTTGCGCGAAATTCAAAAAAGAGAACAAACTCTACTTCTTCGCTGTTCAAGACAAAACAAGTCAAACTTTCAGCCTCTACCTCAAGAGTTAAAATTTTCTAAATCAAGTATCATTCTAGATGAGAGTCTCTGCAGTCTTTCCGACATGTTTTCATTCTGCCTTTGCCTACATAGGAGAACTTAAACCACCGTATTTTAAATGTAACCTCAACAGAGTCTTACGTAAGGTTAAACACTAACCCCCTTATTCTTGAATTCAAAATGCTCAAATTAATGTAAATAGAGCCTACTGAATTGTTTGTTTTTTTCCTAAACATTAAACTAATGTTTTAGGTTTTATTTTTTATTTAATTAACAGTCACACCTAAGTTATTTTCCTCGAATTCCCAAAAAGGTCTTCTTTTTTTTTAAATAAACATGTCCAAATAGCACAACTTTACAGTCTTCAACACTATTTACATTTCGGTTCAGTCATTAACACTTTTAAGGTATACATTTTTGAATAAGAGAAAAATATTCAATAAAATTAGTTTTCCAGCACCTTAATAATACCAAAGAATTTGAAAATAATACTTTCTCAAATATGAATTCAAATCATTTAAGGAAATAATGAGAAACAAACCAGGCCCTAAAGAACTTCATTAATCACATTATCATATCAGAAAAATCGACAACTTATAATCTCTTTCTATCACTAAATCATTTTCTATCAAATTCCTACTTTTCCACCAACTCCATGAGTAACCATTTAACTAATCAACTTTTAGTGAAAACTTTAACAAAATCTTTCCGAAAGTCAAGATATAAAACATAAAACTGAAGGTGGCCAACTCCCCCCCCCCAAAAAAAAAGAAAGAGGAAAATCATGTTTAAAAGCCTAATAAACGTATAAGACAAGAAAGTCATATTGAGAATTATTACTGATAGTGACTTTCTAGAAATATCCTGTTCC